GAGACCTGGAAGTCAATGGACTTACCTGAATGTCTGTCATTTACCAGCATCAGTAACCCACGTAAATGGACAACCACCCCAGTTTCAGTGATATTTTGTGGGATTGTGACAATTTGTGTACTGTTGCTTCTCCTTTCCTCTCTTTTTTTTGGTGAGGGACATCCACAATCCTGAAAATCTCTCAATTCATGTGCCACAACACCCCTCAACAGCTGAGCTTCCAAGCCACCAACCTCAGTCTAAGGTATGTGATGGAAGACAGCTATTTTAACCAGCTATTTTGTCCCATTTGGTTAAATTTGAAATTTTATTTTCTAAAAATTGTCTTGAATACTTAACACCAAATTCCTAGAGTTGTTTATGGTATATATTATTTCATTATGAATAATATACATTGGAAGAAAGCTTGGCAATAAATATTTAAAGCAAATATTTACCAGGATTTGTAAAATCCCAGAGGAGTCATAGTTAGATACATTTTAAAATAGTGATCTATTTGATCTATTTTAAATTGGAGATATATTTTAAAAGTATTCATATCTAACATGCAAATCATACTTTACAGAGTTTACCAGCAGACTCTAGCACTCTGCTGGTAAACTCTGTGGCATCTTATCTCATGGCGCCCTCTTGAGGCTGCATTAGGTCCTAAACTATATGAACACATTGTCATGCGCTATTTTTAGAATTAAATCTAATGCGTTAGAATTTTCAAATTTAAATGAATTTTCTTTTCATCTTCAGGATTATATTATAACGTACTCTATATTGTGCATATTAACAATATAAAAAATGTTCATGAAGATACAAAAAAATAAATAAAATGACATTTAAAATGTGGTATGTCAATATGAAAATGAATTTCATTACAACTAAATAATCACAATATACAAAATCCTAAATCATACTAAGTCTATCTATCTATCTATCTATCTATCTATCTATCTATCTATCTATCTATCTATCTATCTATCTATCTATCTATATGTATGTAGATAGATAGAATACAAACCAACATACATATATAAATATTCTAAAGATATAGTATAGTAATATAGTTTATATATAGAGTCTATAGTTTTAGTATGTATGTAGACAGATAGATAGATATTGTTATAGTTACAGTGTATGTGTAGTATGCAGCTGTAAAAGATATAACACCAACATATAAAATTAACATGAACAAATGACTCTAACGAGCCAGTTCTTTTAATGAATTGCTCAAAAAGACTTTTTGGTTGAGTCTGTCTGACGAATCCTTCACTTAATGAACTCACTAAATCTGTCAAAGTGCTTATAAACATCTGATTCACTGAAATAACATCTGATACTCTTACTAAGCTGCAAGTCATGTCAGTCATGTTTGTCTCAAAATTAAGCTGTGCATGTTTAAGTTTAGTTTCTCAAATCTTTTAAATAGACCATTTAAACACAATTTGTCATTTGTGTTTGCAAAAGTTTGGTATTTAAATGACAAAAAAAATACAGAAAAAACTTAAATAGTTTATTCATGAACAAGTGACTCTAAAGAGCCAGTTCTTTTAATAAATCGATCAGAAAGACTTATTGCTTTGAATCAGTCTGACAAACCCTTCACTTATTTATCTCACTGATTTTGTCAGGTAGTTATTAACATCTGATTCACTTACTGTATTTTAAGATTTTAGAAAGTTTGGTCATATGACAACCTGTAGTCAAGATTCACTTGTCATTTGTTTTGTTTTGCAAAAGTTTAGTACTTAACAAAAACAAACTATCAGAGATGAGTAATTGGCTCTAATAAGTCAGTACATTTGAATCATTTAAAAAGATCTATTCGTTTGAATCAGTCTGATAAATCCTTCATTTAATGAATCTGTCAGAGTGGTTATTAACATCTGATTCACTGAATGAACATCTGATTCACTTACTGAACTACAACTCTTTCAGTCATGTTGGACTGAAAAGTTTTTTTTAAAACTCAGGTTTGTTCATATGACAACCTATAGGCAAGATTAATTTGTGTTTGCAGACGTTTGGTATTTAACAAAAACAGACATCCAATTCAGCTAACATAATCCGATTAATCAACAAATTACTCTAATGAGGAATAGCTCAAAAAACTTGCTGGTTTGAATCAGTCTGACAAATCCTTCACTTAATGAACTCACTGAATCCATTAGATCATCTGACTCATTTAATAAACCACAAGTCTTTCAGTCATGTTTGACTCTAAATGAAGCTTTGTGTACATTTCAAATCTTACACTGCTTTAATGAAGAGATGGAGATAAATAGTGTTACATTGTTTCAATAACCTTAATAAACCTTTATAACACATGACTATTAATTAATGAGTTTACCTGTTTTTCACTTTCTCTCTGCAGGCTGAGTTTCTGCAGTATTGAAGAGAAAGGCTGTGCTGCTCTGATTTCAGCTCTGAGATCAAACCCCTCACACCTGACAGAACTGAATCTGAACAATAAGAAACCAGGAGATTCAGGAGTGAAGCTGCTCTCTGCTCTACTGGAGGATCCACACTGCTAGAGCTATGAATAGTAGAGGACGATCGATAGTGGATTTTGCCGATACAGATAGCTAGGTTGGACCACACTGGCCGATACCGATTAATCAACCGATAGTTTTTAAAATGGATACTGAACAAAAATTTAAATAGTGCTTTACTATTAAAAAAAAGTACTGAACATACTTTGTACATGAATACAAATATTAATATTAAATATTAATTATAATGTAACAGTTTGTAGATCGAGAAGAAGGAGGTGGGAACCGGCGAACATTTAAACACTTTAATAAAGTAACACAAAATGAAAGTAAAGCGGAAGCCCCTCACGGACTACTGCCGCACACAAAACACAAGATAAAGTCCAGACCTGGTCCTCTTTCGTCTTGCACTGTCGTCACTCCTCTGGCCCTGCCCCCACTCGTCACATATATATTGATCATTAAATTTAGTTTATAGTTCATTAACTAATGTTAACAGAAGCAACATAAAAATTGTAAAATATATTAGTAGATGTTAAAATGAACAAACTCTAACTAGATGACCATCTTTAAATATCTACACAAAGGCCATAGCATTGAAATTACAAACATATGGCAAAATCCCTGTTGCCCTCCCCCTCCCCTCAATTTTTTTTATTACATTTGGATTTAGATACATGTTTAGATATTATCAATGACTACTTAGACTCTTTATCTGTTTTTTTGTTTAATTGTTTTGTTGTTGTTGTTTGAAACATTGATTTAAAGTGTCCGTTTTTTCCCATTATTATTCAGTCGAACCCTTTGTTACCCCAGACTAGGCCTGGCTGATATGGACAAAAAAATCATCACGATAATTTTTTCCATATCAGTCGATATCGATAATTATCACGATAAATGTCAAATCTTTATTTCTTTCAAGTTTAAAGCCAAATTTTTGCTCCAAAGTGAAAGTTGTAGAAACCAGACCATTAATTTTCCTTAACAAAATAAATATCTAAATAGAAAATTAATTTCTTAGTTTCTGCATGTTCTAATGAGTGGTATTGTTTCAAATCAAGAAACAGGTTTGGGTTGCCTGATAATATTAATAATAATAATAATAATATAACTTTTTTTGTCTCTTAGAAATGCACATTTGATAGTAGCTTGAGTTAGGACGCGGAGGTTAATTTTTGTTCATTATCAAAATCAGTAACATCTGTAAAAATTGTAGCAACCTCAGTTTTATATGGTTACATTTATTCTGGATTTTTAAATTTTTTTTTTATTAAGCATTGGTCTCCTATAGTAGCATACATTTAAATCATGATAAACACAGTTAAAACCACACATACAGGTAGCACCTCAATACCATGGTAAAAATATAGCTATGAAAAACAGTAGTCTAAAAACATTCAGTATAAATGCACACATGCTATAGCTTAATCACAAATACATACTATAATTACATACCATTACTCTAGTTACCATTACAATAAACAGGCAGATTCATAATTAAAATGTTTTAATTTCATTTAAATTGTTTAAATGTAGGTTATCAAGTATAGAAATGTGAATATTGCCATGTGGGAATTTTACTGAGATGATTATGAAAATAATGACAAGGCATGGTTGATTGATGCCTTATGACTATGCTGATGATTTAATGCATTTTTTCATCTGTGCTGTTTTGCCTCACTTTGGTCAGTTATTTCCACTGGCAAGGAAGGGACTTCAAGAATGAAACAAACTGAAGAAACTCTCTAAAAACTCTCAAATAAACTACAGCTGATATAAAAAAAAAATGTGAAAAAGATTTGTACATGTGCTCAAACCTCTTCATAGACGAGTTTCCTGCAGGCATTTCCTCAAAATAGCTAGCACACACGCAAAAGTCTAACCTCTTTAAACAAAGAAAACAAATCGCATAACGTTACATGCAAATGTTACTACTTGCATCTACCTGACCGTCAAAAAGTACATTTATAGACATTTATAGACTTTAATACGACTATAGACGTTTATATCTATTAACATATTAAAATTAATTGACATCGACTCTTAGCTAATCATTTAACTATAAATGTTGCAACGTTGCACGATTGCAGAACAATAATAACTTCAGCGATTATTTAACATACCTCTTATTCGTGTCGCTTCTGTTCTGATGGCTCATACTGTACAGCATACTGTACACCCCTACTGGACGCATCAGGAACAACAGGGCCGTGAAACTGTCTGGGCACAACTGTGTAATAAATGTAAGGATCCACCCGCCAGCCCACAAAGCGGAATCCAGCGGCCTGGTCGAAGGTTTAATGCGTATTCAGTCTTTTACTTGCGATAGCAAAATCAGGGTTAATTTGTGGTTACCATGGTTTTTATTATAGTAACCATGTTTTTTGTTTGTTTTATTTGTAGTAAAACCATGGTTTTTAGGTTTTATTTGTAGTAAAACCAGGTACAACATGAGCTACAGTATTTACTGTGAATGAGCATGTAAGCCAACGTCCCTCATGGTCATTTCATGTGACAGCATGGAAACGTCATAATTTTTCATGGTAAGTTAGTAATACATAGTTCACTAAGAATGTATCACAAATTTTTTTTTGCTCATTAATAAACAATTATTTAACCGTTTCAAAGTACATACAGCTGTTAAACACAAATCAAATGACTGTTCTACTTATTCTTGAAGGAGTTAATCAGTGAAAGACGATGGCGTATGTTTCAGAGCGGCTTCTGGCCACTCTGGATGATCTAGACACAGGAGAACTGAAGAGGTTTAAATGGCTCTTAAAGAATCATAAGAACATTTCAGCTGCTGCTCTGGAGAAGGCAGATACTCCTGACACAGTGGATTTGCTGATGAAGCGCTTTGGACCAGAAGAAGCTGAGAAGATCACGGTGGACATCCTGCGGAAGATGAACCATAACTATCTGGCTAAAGAGTTAGAGAACAAACAAAAGCAAGGTAACAGTTTCAAGTGAAACTTAAGTTAAACGTGCCATTTAAAAAAATAGAAACTAAAAAGTAGATTGTTTTTAATGTATTTGAAATATGAAAAAGGCCCTGTAAAATTATTTTAATAAAATTAATGGTTTACAGAATAAATGAATAACTGTTGGCTATAAGCTGAAGTTTCCCCCTTTGCTTTGCTGATGTGTTTTCATTCCATCATGTCACTGTATCATTCTGATCGGTTTCTCTCTCACACAGTTCAGGCTGAGAACAGCATTGAGGATCCTGTGCTTGTTGGACTCGAATCAGAACTGATGAGGGGTAAATATTGATCACTGTCTGTACAGAGAAACCCAAAATTTGAGTGAGTTCTTACAGATGTGGCCTTTAAGAATGCACATTTTTTCACAAAGCATCACGCAATTTGTCAAGCGTGATCATGGTGATTCCCACATTAGGTTTGTTGTGCAGATGCTCTTTAACAATTCCAGTCATTAATGTTTAGTCTTGAATCAATCTTTAAACACTCATAGGTTTATAGATTATTACATTATAGGCTTATTACACATTGAATTAACATAATTTTCTGATAGTGTCTGATAAATTAACTGCACGTTTAATGTTGAGAAAACAACATTACAAGAAAAAATAGCATATTCACAGTATAATGTGCCTAAGAAATAATAATTGACACCAATTATGCTATTAGTGTAGTATTAGTAATACTAACAATTTAGTAAAAAGTACTAGGAAAATCAGTTTTTATACAGTCTGGAATTGCAGTTATTCAAGTATATTTGATTTTTTTTTAAAGTAAGTATTTTTAAATAACATTTACTCACTATATAGGTTTGTAACATTATACTTTTAACTATTAACAAGTTATTCACAGTCATTCTTAGAAATGCAATACAGCCATTTATGGATCAAGGTATTTTACTATTATAATCATATATTTGCCTGTGTGTATAGCCTGCATGAGAATGGAATGTGCATACATATGGTGAAGTTGCACGTCCTATTTTGACATTAGACAAAATATACGATGAGGCCTCTTCCTTTCACAAAACATAAATTGAGGCCTCCTGTCTGCTACGACTATATATGAACTGTATAGAACACACCTTGAGGAAAAACTGTATAAAAGAGTGTGCAGACACAGACTATTTAGATTCTCTGCAGAGTCTCTCAGCTTCATTATCTCTGATAATAAAGTCTCTCTTCTGGCGTCAAAACCTCAAGACCTTAAGTGATTTCTCACAAAAGTGGCAGAAGCCACCACAATCAGCAGTTCTTTACAGGCACAATAAGAAATGCAACATAACATAATTGATAATATAATAAAGACAAAATCAAAGTTGTGAGATATACATTGTCAAGTTGCCACTAAAGTCACAAGCCAAAATATAATAATAATAATAATAATAAAAGACAATTGCGAGTTTTAGGCACCTAGAACATTTTGTTGTTTGTAAAGAGTCAATATATCAAAAGAAAGAACAGGGCCCCTGCTTTTATTCCTTAAATACCTTGGGTCTTTAGTGACCAGGGACGTCATTCACTACTCTATTGATTATAAACAATATAACCAGGGAAAAAAATGTAAGAGAGTGTCTATTTTCCAATTAAATATTTGTAAAAAGTGTATAGAGTCGCTAGCAACACAAGGTATGTAATAGTGTAAGTATATTTTTCCTATGCAACAATAATTCAATATCCGATGGCTCAATAAGTGCACTTCACCTTTATTCCTCAAGGTGGCGATGTTTGATACACAATGATGAAGTGATTGAACTGACATAAATGGCTTTTTCTACAGTTACTGTACGCAATCAAATATAATTGTCACTGTCATTTGATGGTGGATGTGGTGAATAATCTGCCAGCGATCAAAATATTGATTTTGAAGACATTGAAAATGATAGTTTTGAGGATATGGTTGAGAGTGTGAATATGATCCAGATGCTGAATGTACTGGGGATACGTTCTGATGATGACAGTGATGCTAAAATCATCTGCTCAAATTGAACCCTTCCAATGTTCCAAAGATAATGAAATATTGTTTATTTTATTCTTGTGCATGTTATGTGCAGGGCTCCGTGCATACAATACAACTGCTCATGCATAAAAGTAATCCATACAACTTCAGTGGTTTAACCCAAGTCTTCTGAAGCAATGGGATTTGTATGATGGACAGAATGAAATCGGAGTAATATTCTCTCATATTAAATCAAATCTTTAATCAGTTCATGCATACAGTCATGGTTTGGGCTCCGTAAACAGCAGAGACAAACTATATTTTCTCTGTTGGAGAATTTTTACAAAGACAAGCTAAAAAAGATCTCATAATGTGCTTTCATAAATGAGATACTCATGTAGAACATCATATTAGAATGGATGCAGGGATAATTTTCTCTTGACATGCGAATCACACTGTTCATGTCTTGATTTCCACAGTCACATTCACCAACATTGTTCCCAGGATCAGGAACGACTTCTTACAATGTAAGTCAGTAAGAAAACAAGCAGTAAATCTCACTTTGTTGTGTTCTTGTTCTGCCTGTATAAGGTTAAAGAAAACATGACAGAAGAGTTTTAATTGATGCAGTAAATGACGATTTGCTTAGGATACCTGGTAATCTGATGATACACTGAACATGAAGAGTTTAGCTGCATGAAATGGTCAAACAGATTCATAATTCCTGATTCTGATGTGTTTTTATCTCCATCAGATTCCCATCAGCTCACTCTGGATCCAAACACAGTGAATAAACGCCTCCGTCTGTCTGAGAGCAACAGAGTGATTACATACACTGGCACAGAGCAGCTGTATCCTGATCATCCAGACAGATTTGATGTTTGGGAGCAGGTGCTGTGTAGAGAGAGTGTGTGTGGACGCTGTTACTGTGAGATTGAGTGGAGTGGACGTGTGTATATATCAGTCTCATATAAGAGCATCAACAGGAAGGGAGGTGTTGAGTGTGTGTTTGGACGTAATGATCAGTCCTGGAGTTTGTACTGCTCTTCCTCCAGTTACTCATTCAGACATAGTAACATAGAGACTGATCTCCATGTAAAGCCCATCAGCAGGAAAATAGGAGTGTATGTGGATCACAGTGCAGGAACTCTGTCCTTCTACAGCGTCTCTCACACAATGAGCCTCATCTACACAGTCCAGACCACATTCACTCAGCCACTCTATCCTGGGTTTACTGTTTATAAAGGATCAGTGAAACTGTGTTGATGAATTAGTATAGATTCTAGAGAGTCTCTTCTTTTCTCTTAATGACATTAATACTGCAGCTGAGCCTCTGTCACTGAAATAACATGTCAGAATTAACGTGTGTAATAAATCCTCATATAGACAAACATTCTTCTCATTATAAAGAAGAGTATCTATTGAACCTATCTGCAATAAACAAGACAATTGTCAGTAAACACCTTCAGGAAACCAATAATGAGCTCTTACACAAAATTGTAACTTTCCAATTCAAGGGTAACACATGTAAACAAAACGAATAAATAAAATTAAATACAAATTTTTGTTTAATTAAATTTTGCTGTATTTCTGTTCATATTTACACATTCCTTAAGTTTCCTCTTAACCTTATTGGCTCCCTCTTATTGTTTCCTTAGTTAATAATTGTTGTCACCTGTTGTCTCTTTTAGTTCGTTTTTTTGCTCTTGTGTATTTATACACATGATTGTTCAGTTCTTTCTTGGTTCAATGTTTAATATGGTTACATTTTCTGTGTAGTCTTGTGAATATTCTCGGTGTTGATTAAAATATTCTTTGTGATATATCATGCAACTTTTCAGTAACAACATTTACATGACAGATGGACTGACTTGAATCTTAAACAAGAGAGACTGTTACTTGCAGAACAGCCGGACACTGGCTTTATACAATGAGTTTTGCTGAGATCATTAGAGATTCAGACACCTCATCTGGAGCGGGATGGAAAGACAGCCTTGACCAGATGTTGCTATTGTGGGAGGATCACTGTCCCTTTGCTGAGTTTGCAGATTGTATATGGCTGTGTGGATTCTCCCTTATCATGGGAGTCATCGAGGACAGCAACACCTTCTCTGACTCCTTGGCCCATTTTCCATCTCCAGCAGTCATCTCTTTGCCCGCTCCAGACGGGACTCATCATCCCTGTCTGGAGTGTCCTAGAGAGCACGAGAGATCTTCCATTGTGAACCTGAGTTCAACACCTGAGCCAATGCCCACCACGGACCACGAGCGAGAGCCGCCTCTAACCACGGAGTCAGAGCCAACCACTGGGTCCATCCTGGAGTCTGCACCGTGAGGGCAGTCCTCTCCTGAGCAGGTTGAGACGCACTGGCTCATCTATTTTCTAAGAGTTTCAACATCTGGAAAAGATCTGGGCAGCAATGGTAAAAAAAAACTCTCCAAAACAACATTTCCTCACTAAAGCTCTCATCTTTGACAAAGTCCATCATTTATTTTAATTATTATATTGAATTTATGACTGAACAATGTGTCAGTCATAAATTCAATGTGTCACAATTTTGGAGGCAGAGACAGACTGTGGGGGGGCACTATAGGGAAAAACTTAAACTGTTGGAATAAAGAGTTTTAAAGGGTTAGTGATGGGAAACTTGCAGGTCAATGGGTATCAGTGTTTAAGGTTGGTAAACATTTGTACACGGACACATATAATACTACCCGCCTGACATTGGCATGTGTTATTCAGGTGTCAAAGTTGTGCAGAATTGAAGGAAGAAACCTCAAAGACAGTGCCAGAAGGATGCTGGACAGGTAAAGCCTACAAATCTTGCCACATTAATCAAATATTGGGGTGCCAATACTCAATAAGTTACAACGTGAATCAGAAATTTAAAAAATAATTCCTTTACTGGTCATTTTAAAATGTTAAACTTTGTCCGCAAATGTTAACCACCTCAATCTATATTATATTTTAGGGTTTTAAAAAAAGTTCCTCATGTCCAAATTCAACATGAAGGGGGGTGGTCCGCTGCAGAAAGAGGCATTTGAAAAGACTGCACTGCTCTCCATCATTAGAGGTATGTGTATAAAACACACAACATTTACCAGAGAGCTTCTCTCTTTTTTAACACACTGAATGGTGATACACTATATATATATCCAAGCAAAAGAGAACGAGTCCGTCACAATTAGTGTAATTAAAGTAAAAAAAATATGTCAAGTTTTTCTTGTGCTTTTTTTATTTTTATTATTTGGCAGATGCTGTGATGACCAACTTCCCGGCAGCAACAGAGTTGGACTTGAGGAATGCAGTTGAGAAGCATTTTAAACAAGAAATAAAACCAATAATTAATCATTTCCTTTAAGTTCACTGTTGGTTGTTTTATTTGTTAAAATAAGTAAACCAACAAAAAGGTTAATCTTTTTTTTTATGTTGTCATTTATCCGTAATGTT